GCAATTGCCACAGAAAATATGCAAAGTGACAAATATCAATCTGTATGGTAATCAATTTAAATGAACGATTAGTTTGTTCAAAAATAGAGGAACACTACTACTGACATTTATATCTGTATTTATATCTGATTGATTGAATTTATATCTGTAACATTTATCTTATTTCTGCCATCCTCAGATTTAATGTACTTAAATTTCATATTTTTATATTATATTATTATTTGCTTTAAAATTTACACATATACATAGTTCAATTTTGCAAAAATAAAATTAATTCCAGGAAAAATTTTATCGTGTATTAAATTTATAACACCTATATAATTTAAAAAATATATTACTATTTTTATTTGCGCTAAAAAATATAAAATTAGCCGATGTTGTGAATGGATAAAAAATATAAATTATATAATCCAACTTTAGCTTATATTTAATTAAGTTTTATGCACAAGGACATGTTATATATAATATTTGCATAGAATCTTAATATCTGTGGATTAGTAAGAATACTTAAATGACTCTTTTCTCGTCGCTATAAAACCGACCTCAAAAAATAGGTCCATTGCACGAATTATATTCAGTAGCATTCTAGGACTAGCGTTGCGTTATTATTTTCTCGTGTCTTTTCTATATCAGGACTGAGAATGTTCATAGGCAATGAGGACGGCAGAAACAATTATTACGAAAACCACAGTTGAATGGACTGTCACTTGCTGATGATGGAGTAATGTAAACTGGCGCAAGATTCGTCAAGGCTGTAGAGATAGAGTTGTTCTATTTTGTGTGTACACGTGAGAAATAAAGTACTACGACGGAGAAAAAGTCCTTCACATTTAACCTTCCTTAAATATATATAAGAACATTAAAGTTAATCTTGGACTAAAATACGAAAATATCACAGTTTAATTATCACAAGTATAAATTATCAGACAAAATATTTTATATCGCGGACATCATTAAAGCAAAATATTTTAAATATTAGAATTTATGAGTGAAAGAGATTTATCCTTTTTGATATTATATACTATAAAAGAAGTGTTTGTAATCTCGATATAATTCTTCATAAAGAACATCGCGAAGAACTCAGACGCGATCAAATGGATTTTGCGGGTTTGATGATTTTTTCAAAGCGCTCAATGTCGCGCGATGCAATCCGTTAAATTTATGGATCAGATTCGCACGGTTCCCGAGAGAGATTAATCTTTGTTAAATATCAAACATACCATTAATGAAATGCACAATCTTTCCTGCGCGACGTCTCACTACCGTTTAATTTACAACCGATCTGATGACTGATAGAAACGTGATCTTTAAAGGAGGAAACTTATCTACCATCGAAATTTGAGAACTCTAACCCGTAAGTCCGCATGATTATTAATTAAGAGTTAACTCTAAGCGCAATTACTTTAATATGTTGCTTAATCAGCTAGAGCTAGAAATAAACCATAGATGCTCTTCTCTCATAGAAAAGCATACATAAATACTGATTTTTAAAACATAAATTTCTTGCTTCTACAATAAATTAATCTGATAAAGACGTGAAAAACTGTCACGCAATTATTTATGGGAAGATAACATCGTACTTTCTCTCTCTTTATTCATACGTATAACAAACAACAGAGTTAGAATAGGATTTGTTGACGTTTAAAATTATAATTTCATTATAATTTAACTTCTAATTGGCAAGTTACGCGATAGAAATGCAATAACTAATAAATATTTACGTGACCCCATAGCGGAATGTTTTTAGATTTCAAAGTCGTCGCGTATAATAAACGGCCAGATACTACGTTTTATTTTGACCTAGAAGACAGTCTTTTACTTTAGACACATTTCGAAATTGCTTTCTTTATCTTCAAAAACACCTCGTAAATCGTTATCGGTCAAAATATTTATTTCGCATTTTTCAATTAAAAAAAAACAAATTTTATCATCGATTAATTAATCTCAGTTTTCCCTTTCTACGATGTTAATTTCCACATTCTTTCGATAATCTGTCATAAATATACATATGTTCCATCGATCATCTTGTAAACGTGCCAAACACTTTAAAGAAAAGTCGCGATTCCAAAAACACTTTCGTTAAATTTTTTATAATCGCTAAAAAGATAGTTTAAATATTTTGATATTATTGTTCATTACTGCAATCATATTTTGTATAGCTCATTGATATAAAATGGCAACATTTATAAATCTTAATCAATTTTGTTAAGATATAGAAAGTATTTTATGATAAAAAACAAGATTCAATTATCTTTAACAAATAAGAACTATTATCAATAATTTTCCTGCGATAACTTCCGCAATTTATTTTGGTATATTTTTATCTCAATAGTCTTTAATTTACTATCTGTATTGGAGTAAAATAATCAAAGCTTTTAACGAGCATTTAAACGGCTGCCGACAACAAATGAATTTTCATAGCATTTAAATTAACCGTTTAAAAGGTTAACCCTTGCATACTTAAATTGTAATTTATACGTTGTAAATATTCCGTAAATAAACATTTTAATATTTATGAAGCTAAAGATAATGTAATGCAAAAACTAATCGAGCACGGTTATTAATTGGTAGCTATTAATTTTTGGATTATCACTGTCTCTAAGTTGTTATAAAATCTCTAAACATCTATTTCTCATTAGACATTGGTAGAAATCTATTATTTTAGTAAAATCGTCTGAGAGCTCTTTCGAAAAAAAAAACTACAAATCTGTTTATACACGTCTATATGATCATCGAAATACATTCGGAAAAATCTAACTTGGGATGAGCCGATCCTAGACCTAGAAACAATCGCGTTGGCCTTGAGCTACATGCAAGAGTAGTAAAAGTGATAGACAAGCCGCTGCCTTGATAGAAAAAAATTCTAATTCGAGGATAGCGGCAATTAGAATGTTATACAAAGCGAAGAGACTATAAAAATCTATCAATGAAGACTCGCGTGGAATCGGAGTTTATTTTTCCCTGGCGAAAATATCGAAGAAAGTTATTATTTATTGCAACTTTGCACAACTTTCAACGTTATGTATCTTTTAAATAAAAATTCCGCCAAAATTATAAAATATTGAGAAGTTGCATTTTCTCCTTCTTCAAGTTTTAACGTTAGTGATATATACATATGTAAAATTTACATATATTTACATATATTTCTCGGCAAATCTCTGAGGAAAAATATCGTTATTGAACGATCGCTGACGTTGATAAAGAATAGTAAGTTAGAATTTCTTTTTCATTTTCGTTTTATCGCATGACTGGCTACTTTACAGCGGCTTGGCTATCATGATTGATAGCCACGAAGTCTTGTCTGTGGCATGGAAACGAAACCGAAGAATCTAGAATGTTAATGCCAAGGCTACTTGGTCCATTGTCGATCCAAGAAATGTCATTGCCAAGGAAATCTAGTCATTATTCTAACGATCTTATCAGCAAAACAGTTATGAGGAAGCTGCATCGATCCGTTATCGATACACCTGATGTACAAAATGATACAAATGTCATAAATGACCTATAAAAAAGTAATAAAGTAGCGCGCAACGAGAATAGCAATTAAGAGCAAACAATTAATATAATTATCAGTGATATAATATTAACAACTGGATGCAATAAATAGAAAAATAAATAATGTCAATTGAGAAGAGCACATGGAAAACACTTCAACCCTTCAATTATGATGCGTTAATAATTAAATAATCACAATAATTAAGCATTTACTACGCTGTAGATAATTGCGTAAACATTTTCTCATACATTACATGTTAAATATGCGCTATTATGCGCTTATCAGGTACGCTAAGTGATGTTTGTATTATTCGAGCATAAAGTATGCATATTTGTAAAATCATTTAGGATTGCAATTCTTACACGTAATCGTTTATATATTATTGGTCAATAGATTACCTGTGCTTATAACTGAATATATAAGCCATATTTTATAGAATCAAAGATTTTTAACTGATAACACAAATTAGCTGAAATAATAATATAAATTTAAATAAAATAAGACAATAGATATGCAATAAATATATGTTGTGAAAATATAAATCTGATAAAAATCAATTAAGATTTATGCATGCGGATACATGTTGTATAAGAAAAACGAACGATTAATAACGGGACTTATTTGCGAGATTTTTCAATCATTAATTCATTGTTCCATCGATCGTAAATCTTCCATTACGGGGAACTATATTATTCCCGTACGTTACATATGCGCAGCCTATTATAAAATTTTAAATAATTTCCGTGTATCATTAATAATTATTGTAAGAAGCAATTGTTACTGTAAAAGTAGTCAGAAGGTCAGCATGGCAAGGCGCGGCGAGAAAAAAGAGAAAAATTAATAAGCAGATATGTGTACACAACGGATTTATAAGTCAACACGACAATAAGGAAAATCCATTCTTCATTAACTGTAGCCTATAATTGGCGACAACGGTATGCGTTATTAAGCTGTTTAGTTAAGAATGATAAATGATGAAGAGTCCATGGCCTCTAAACAAGGTACATTATCTGCACAAAGTTACAAAATATAAAACAATCTGTGACAAAATTAGAGTGAATCTGAAATTAAACATAAAAGTAAAAGAAACCAGCCACATAGCCAAATGTTAACAATGTTGGCAGATTGTCAGCAAATTTGATTGAATTTTCTGTCAATTTTTCAACATTGCTAGCATTTTGCTTATTGAGCAAAAATAATCATAAAATATTAACATTGTTAACACCGCAAAATGCTAGACTTGTAAATAATAAATACATGCATTTTAGATAATAATTAAGTATAAAAATAATAAAGTTTTATCTTTGCATCTTTTAGTATTTCGTCAAGGCTTCGTTAATATAGCTGTAATTTAGAAGTATAATATTAGTAGACAAACATGTAAGTTAACATTTCGAAAAATGTATTTTTTACGCTATGTACATAATATACAGTTGCTTTTTGCTGTGACATTTTCTACCATCAAATCAATATGCTAGAAAGAAGGAATATAATTAAACGGTAATTGATTATGTAAATAAAGCCAGTTTAATGGTAACGTAATATACACAGCATAGATTGCATCTACTCTCCGTAAAAGCTGTCATTTCTCTCGTTTCCGCCTTCATTCGCTTAGATACACGTACAATGTACAGTATATAACTATTACAAGACATCGATGCGTTTTGCACCAAAGATGACGTTTTCACCTAGATTTAAAGCGTAAGTTTTACCACCATTGCCATTGTGTACTCTTCTTACATTTATATGAGAAGCCGAGCGCCTTTAACGATCATGCCGATATGCCCTGTGTTCCTAGAAAATGACAATATTGTAATGACAATTTTAATGTATGTCGTGAATACCAATTCAAATAGCATTAGTCATTTTCGTTAGATTTATCAGAGGCAGGACGTTTCGTCATGAATATACAAATATAATGCTATCACATGCATTAACAATTCATAAAAAGTTTCTCGCTGTTTTTGTAAGTGATTAATAGGAATATGTATTACTATACATGGGTAGACTAGACCATAATAATGTGACGTTTTCTTGCAAAAATTATTTCGAAAATTGTTTCGATCGTTGCTCGATAATTATAAGCGTCTTAACACACTGCGATTATAATACCCCTGAAATAATATCGCTTGGTATTCCTAGCTGCAGTCCCTGTTCTGTAATTACTTTCCCGAGGCGCAATGGCAGAGTAGAAAACTATAAAACATTCCTCGAATTTTCCATTCACGCCAAAACCCATCACGTAGCTTAGGACATTGCAAACCTGTATTATTCAAAATGTGAAATTTACAATTTATGACACATGTGACAATGCTTACAACTTAGGCATAGAACAAAGCATGAAGAATTTATTTCTGTGTAACTATAATAGAAGTATTTTTAAAATAATGCATATAGAAATGCGACACTCGCATACTCATTGTGATATCTGTACGGATACAATTATACAAATATTTAGTAAACATTGATCATGAATTAAATTCATACAACAATAACAACGGAAATCAAATGAGCCGAAGGAATGTATAAACTAAAATTGAACAGTCTGAGCAATAAATATGTAACAATTACAAAACTAATGTAAATGTTTGGTAGGCAACGTAAGTCACTTTCTGCGTTCGCTCTCTTCTAGTCGCACCTAAACAGTAGACAGCCTACATTTAGATTCAAACGTAAAACTTTTATTAAAAACCCATCTTTGGCTACTTTGGGTATGTTTATTTAAATAATTATGAGATAGTAATATTATACAGTTTTGAGTTAGAGTACAAGGTGAATTCGTAACTTTGCTTTACATCATGTGCTGCCCGTTTGGTGGAGCATATTGCGATTGCTGGTTTACAGATGGTCCTGTAGGTCCAGGTGGACCATACGGCCCTGGTGCAGGACCACTCTGAGGTGGATACCTGTGTAATATTGAGTTATCACTATATTTAAACAAAAAAAATATATATATATAGAAAAAAATATTTTCATAATATTCAACAATCAATAAAATATAATGCAATATTACAAAGCAATTATATTTTCATATAAAATACATAACAAAAATACGTAATATGTAGTGTATGTTTAATCTGTGTGTAGGAAATGTTGCACAATTCTTTAGATAAGAAATATTTATATCATAACCAGCTTTGAGATTATCATTGCAATAGAAAAAAAAAAAAAATAACTAATCATACCCTTGTGGTTGATAAGGAAGGCTAGTTTGATCAGGCGGTGGTAGAGGTGGCCCCTGTATATGTCCAGACGGTTGTTGATGAGGGCTCGATTGAACATGAAAATGTTGCGGTAAAGTCATGTTCGGCATACTGGCAGGACCCATATATTCGTTACTCGATAAATTCGTGTTATATGGTCCTACCGGACCGGAACCCGCTCCAGTGGGAAATGGAGAAGGCGGCATACCGTTAAACATCTATTGACATACAAATATGTTACCACCAGAATATCTCGCATTATTACAAGTGTTTCGAGTTTGTTGACGAACTTACATGCGGTGGTGGTGGTCCTGGATTGTGGAATGGATAAGGACTTATATGTGGTTGCATTTTCGGCAGAGTGTAACCAGATGGTGTTGGAGGCGCGGGTTCTCTCATTAGCGTATGGTATAAATTAAGAGCGTCGACTAAATCAGAACTTAATTGAGTAAGCTGTGCATGCCGCCTATCTACTTTTTCTAAAGCTGCATCAATCAAAGGCCCCATTGCCGTAACTTGTTCTGCAAAATACAAAAGAAATAATAGAATATGTTTGTAACACTCTCTACTTTAACGTCTTCATCTAATTTCGTAATTACCTTCTAAATCAAGCATTTCCTGAGGATCAGAAGTATTGCATTGTGGATCAGCTTCGTGAAGCAGATGTAATAATCTATCCATTTTCTTTTCATCTATTTCAACTTCCACAATTTCTGGTTCACGTTTTACCATCTTTACTTCTACTTCTTCCGCAAATTGTACTAACTTCTTGTTACTATGTTCCAATTCTGCACATAAATATATTCATGTATTGTTTCAATCAGAAGAAATAATTTGAAGACATTTCGAAGTATGTCAGAGAAGATTAAGTTGTATATATCTTACTTGTAAACTCTTCAGGCTCAACAGATAGATCAGCAGTAACAAAATTAGAGGGGAAAAGGCCTTCGCCTCTTTGATTGCTACCTTTCCACCAATTCGGATCAGAATCATCCAAGATATTAACTAAAAAATTGAATTAACAATTAGTGGAATTAAAAGAAGTATTGTATATTTCTATTACCATCTCCATGCTGCCACCAACTATATCATTCACTTTACGTACTTATTTCTCCTGCTAAGAATGTCAGTTCATTATCCTCCGCAGCTTCAAAATCATACAGAGCACGTACTTTTCTGCCTTCCGAAGTACTTGAAGATCCAAGCATAGAATTCATACTAGGATATAAACTAGAATTCTTCTCAGAAGCTGGCGAACTATGCGACGAAGTGCTTTGAGTATGCACTTTACTTTCTTGCAATGAGAGCTGTATGGCTGTTAAATATTGTCTATATAATAACTACATATAATAATGATAGAAATAAACTTGAAACATTGAATATTATTACCTTTCGCAATATCCGCTTCTTCTTGCGAATTTGTTACTACGTTAGGATCTCTGCTCAGAGCACTAGAACGTTTTGGCTAAAACATATTGTATATTATTGTATACAAGATAAAATTTAAAAATATTAAAGTAATAATATTATGTCTTCAATACGTTGATTTATTCATAATAACTGATAAAGTAAGAAATAATACAGGTTTATAAGAGAAACATGTAATATCAATAATTGATAGTCTTATCTGTCAGATTTAAATAGCACTGTTTTAACTTGCAACTCAATACTTGACTTTGCAAATGCAAATAATTTATATCGTTGTAGTTGATAAAATAAGAGCAATGATATTATTGCAATAAAATAGAAACTTACCGTATCTGAGACAGAAGAAAAGTCATGGCCTTCGCTTTTGAGTTTGTTATATAAACTTGGGATCAAATTCAATTGTGAATCTGTCTTAAAATCACCTTCTACCCATTTTTTCAAAAGCGCTTTGATTTTATCCACTATTTTTGGTTGTGGATGATTAATGAGCTTCCTTAAATCACTTTCAAATTCTCTAGATGCAATCTCCAAGTGAAAGACCTTTCCACAGTTACTGGCGCAAGCATCTAATAACTAAATTAAAAACGAGTAATCAAAGATTTGATAAAATGTTAAGAAATTTAGTTCAAAAAAAGATTATACTAACTGTTATAGCTTGCATGACAACATGTGGATCTTGACAATACAATCTCTTAACGATAGAACGCAAACAGTCCTTAGCGTTCTGATTAGAGGTGCCTACTTTGTCGCAGATATCCATTATTTTTCCCCATTCCTCCGTTACATTGTTCTCATTAGTTGCCTTTTCTAATGCATACAATCAGATAATTATAAAATAAATTGTAATGTATTACAGATATCCGATGATATATATCATGAAAAATAACAGAAGATTTTTTAATAAAAATACGTCAATAACGCAGCTATAAAGATTAAAGCGTCATAGATAAGAATGACGGAATGAGAACGGAAACTTTTTGTGGTCATGCTAATTTAATCAAAACGTCAAGCTGTAAACATCATATCGTTACTACTTTGTCCCATATAAAAATCCAATCGCAAAAATAATGTGAAATCAGAATTTAAGGGCTGAAAAATGAGCTCGAGTTAAAAATCTAACGATATAACTGGAGGTCAAATGTCAACAACCGCTTAATACATTTAACGCGAGAGAATGATTTTTTGTAGACCGAGAAAAACGGGCTAGATTATTGTAAGGTTGCGATAACATGTGCAACGAGAATGGCTTGCTGGCGATTTATTCGTCATGATTCCGACTAGGCGGTGGCGAAAAAAAAAGGGTCGCCGCGGCGCAGCATTACTCACCGACGTCAGCGTCGAAAGGCGAGGAAGTCGGAAAGAGACCCATTTTCCTGGTTCTCTCTCTGCAGCTGTAGAATTATCCGATGCTTGTTACGTTCGCACGTTAGCACGTCGTCACAGAATCGCGCTACGCATCCAGCTGGTATTTACTCACAAACGCGGCTGACCGAGTGACTGATAATACTCTGATTCACTGCACCGGACATCTTTGCTCTCGGACCTGCCAAAAAGCTCGATACCTATCGAAAATAACTTATCGACTTGCGTCGACTATGAGTGTAGCTCGGATTTTGAAAATATTTTGTGGTAATGCGTAGTGAAATTAAAATATTTGCTATGTTCAAAAATACATTATTTTGTGTTCAACAATAGATGTATGTATAGACATACACAAAAATTTGATGGGAGTTATTTCGAGCTTGATGTTGGAAACAAAAGCTCGCGATGCGAGAATCGATGTATCGAATAATGTAGTATGCAACGTGCAGATGCAATCAGGTGCAACAACCATCGTTCTATTTTGATGAGTAATTAATCGGATCAATTGGATCAATCGGATCTGCTTTTCTATTTGATTTTGCAATTCTTGTGTAAATATTCACTATACATTTCATCTACTCATTTGTTATCTTCGTGCTATCAAATAAAGTTTCAGTTAGTTTCTGTGGACTGACAAATAATTAGAAAATCCTAACATTGCCAACTATTTTCAATCATTTAAATACATATAGATGTTTAATTTATAATGCAGTAATAGTTTTACAATTTCTATTTATCCCAATATTTGATAAACACGTATTCACATAAATATACCATAATATGGTTATGTAGGAAACTGCATTCATTATTATCCATGTTGATTTGGCTTCTTGTTTCTTATGAATCACTCTAGAGGACGCAGTCCTCGATCGACGAGTCTTCAATCTAACCTCTGTAATATCTAACCTCTAATATGTAATATTTACATTAGTTACATCTCACAGCAATAACTTACATATCCTGTAAGAATTTCATTATTATATGTATAAGCTGAAACCATAAGTAACAATTATCTGTGGCGCTGAAATCATAATATCTCATTAAAATCAATATACAAGGTATTTGCAATTTACAATTTTGAAGAATATTTGTTGAACAAAGTTGACTTTCTGTAAGTTGACTTTCTGTACATTATTATTAGCTAAATTGTAAAATTGAGAGAGCTAAATTTTAAATGTTTTATTTCTTGCAGGAAATTTCTCATTGTATTTAGCCCAGATATTTTTAAGCTGTTCAATATGACATTAGAGATTTTTAAATTTTTAAGTGGTAAATTGACGAGAAACGCTACTGGTATAATAACTGTTAGTATTTTGATGACAGAAGTAATTTGGCAGTTGTACAAAAAATATTTTAACCATTTTGAAAAGAAAGCTGTTATGTCCAATAGTTGTATAAAACTAGATAAAGCTACAAAGAATGAAGCAAAAATCTTTGACGTTATGTTCTTCTCAAAAGATTCAGCTTTATGTAGATTTAAAATGGAACCATGTGCAAAACCGGATTGTGCTGTAAAAAATTTAAGGTAACTTTCCCTAAAATAGTAACACAAATAAACAGAATAATACAGTTTTAATATATTATAGGAAGATTGTAGATTATTTTGATTCTGCAATGAATACTGTGGACATATGCATATATTTCTTTACATGTCCATTGTTAGCAAATGCAATAGTAAATGCTCATAAAAGAGGTGTTGTCATAAGATTGATAATGGATGAGACCATGACACATCATGATAGCAGCCAAAATTTACTTTTTTACAAAGCAGGTAAAGCATTGAAACATCTTATTTGTTACAAAAAAATATTTAATTATATATATTAATTATATAATAATATTAAATATTTAATTATACATTTTATATGTATAAAATAATATATTTTATATATCTATTTTATAATCTTAAATTGCTATTAGATAATAATTGTCTCATTTATAGGCATTGAACCAAAATTAAAATCTTTTGACGTGTTGGTGCATCATAAATTTGCCATTATTGACAATAGTATTTTGATAACTGGCAGCACAAATTGGACTATGACAGCATTTTTTGGAAATTTTGAGAATATATTAGTAACCAATGAGTCTGAGTTAGTCAAGCCCTTTGTAAATGAATTTAACAGGCTGTGGACAATATTTGATACTGCAGTTGCACCTGTAGTTAAAACTGATACCTGTGACTAATTATGACAGTTGAGGGCTTATTTATTTCAAAGTGTATTAACAAAGTGGACTTTTTATGAAAATCTATATAAAATATATATATACATACATATAATTATATAATATGTATGTATATACAGATTGATTTAGATAAATATAGATTTATATATAAATATAAAAAAAAATATATATATGCATAATAAAACATATGTATATATACATGTATACATATATACATACATATATACATATACAATCATATATATATTTACATTTATATATTTGATATACATAAGATTAATATCGATAAATTCATTTATTTAAATTCAACTTTGCCAATATGAAATTTCATAAATGGAAGAAGACACTTAAGCAGAATTTCTGCATTTTTTTATACGATTATCTTATGGTATAATGCCTATTTTGTTTTAGTAGGATAAAAATGTGTTTGCATACGAATGTAAAGTATTGATATCTCAAAAGCTTCTGTTTTTTTTTTCTTTTTGTTGTATTTTTTATATATGTATTTTTCGCGAAATAGCTAATGTATGTATGAGAGGCTCAAAGGAGATCTTTCTCCAATCCGACAAGTCTTTATGCTTCTGCGGAATGAATCTGACGCAATCATACAGTGTGGGTGTACTAAGGGAGTTGCTATGACGATTCTGACGTCATCATGAGACTTGATGTATTAACGATAGCTTTTGTTATACGTAGATGAAGCTGGGCAAAATGCATATTGATTTCCTTTAAACGAGACGGTCATGGCCTTTTACAGAGTTCATGGCCACAAATAAACAAGAGTCCGAAAGCGCTCTTAAGTATTCGTTTATGGATATGAGTCATACGATTTGACAAATAAATATAAGGAAAATGAATGTTTTGTTTTATTTTGTATATGTTAATTATATTAATAATTACGTCTATTTCGTACATTTATATATAGATCAAAGAACTGTGTATTTGAAATTGTATTTTAATAATTCACTCATTTTCAGAAATATCGAACAAATAATTTTATTTAAAAAATTGAATAAAAAATATTCATATACATTAAAATAATAATAAAAATTGTATTTTCAAAATTCATAACTTTAGAACTTTTATCTCTAAATTAAATTTTGCACAGTTTATGTTTCTATAAAATATTCTTTCTTTTGTATATGTTTATATAATGTATATTTCCAAAATTTTGTTATTTTAAAAGTAATAAATTGCAAGATTTGTAAAAAGTTTAAAATTTATTACTGTTAAGTTAGGGGAAAATAATGTGTCGTATGTTTTTTATTGATAAATTATAAAAATTACAATTACAAAAACGAGGATATGATTATCAAAATACAGTAAACATCATAAATATTTTGTGCAGTTATACAAGTATAACGAATAAAATTTACTCACCGGTTGTTGTACTTTAGCTAAATACGCTTTCCAGCTATATCTAAAAAGTAATATATATTTTATATATATTTATTATTATATTTAATAAGTATAATAAGTATTTTAAGAAATATGTTTCAATATCCTTAATAAATATTTAATAATATACATTGTAATTGTGGTGTATGTATGTGTCATAATTGTAGACATACTCAAATAATGAATAAATAATTATGCTCACCAACTAGGGTATTGTAGTTTGCTCTACGAATCCCGCCTTAGAAAGCTTTGTATCAACTCTATCGCAGAATCTGAAGAATCCAGGGATAAATATCGAAAACTTTGCACTTAGAACGAAAGTTAAATCGCGCACTTTACTTTTCTAAACTTACTTAGGTTTATTTTAACAAAAAGTTTATGTTAACAAAGGTTAAATCACGCACTTTACTTTTCCAAAATTACTTAGGTTTATTTTAATGAAGGTTAAATCACGCACTTTACTTTTCCAAAACCACTTAAATTCATTTAAACGCGCGCGCACACACACGCACGCACATACATCCCAGTAAGCGAATTGTTAGCAATGTTGGCAAATTGGCAACAAGTTTATTGTTAATCTATCAATATTGTTCACATTTTGCTTATTGGTAATATAATATTGTGCGTTCATAACTCTGCGACATAGAAATTCGTTTGCTAAAACTGTATTAATTTTGAATCCACGATTTAGCGCTAATTATGAGATCGTCAAGCGCCACAAATTGCGAACGTATGCGGCACATAATACATCCCAACAATCGTCCGTCACTTAAATCCGCACTTCTGATAAAAATTCGTAATTATGTTCTTATAACAGGTAAAATACACGATTAATTCGTACTCCCGAAACATTCGCACTCCGGATCAACGTAGCGAAATGGAAATTATTTTGGCGCGAAAGAGCTGTTCTTTGTAACTGCACTGTTGTACTTTTTAAGTTAGGCCGGGTTTACAATAGGTGTAGTAAGCTTTAAGCCGTAAGATATTGACCACTCACAGACAAATTGCAGAAGAATAATCGACTATGATTGGTCCATTTTTTACGGCTTAAAGCTTACTACACCTATTGCAAACCCGGCCTTAGCTTGCACATTGCACTTCCCGGAATGAACTATTACGCCGCTCTGGTGGCCGCTATCTGTACTACTGCAGAGAGACAAGTGTGGAAAAACGCGCGAATTCTCCACAATTAATTAATCGTATATTTTATCGCATAATGAGTGTTTATTTTTGCTCAGAATGCCAATTCAAGTGACGGGCAATTGCCAGAATGTATTGCGAATGTTTGTGATCAATGGTAATTCGTCTTTGATGTACATCGTGAATTCAAACTTACCGGTGCAGTAAGTACAACCTTTTATGTTTGAGGTGCCATGACAGTGCATTTTGCATCTGTGCGCATAGCATAGCTAAAATTGAGCTTGTCGGAATTAAATCGGATAATACGTTGTTATTGTTAGGTGCCTGTTCATGAATGATGATCTCCGCATCACTACAGGGTAGAACTTGGATATAATTATGTATGTATGTTAAATACGTAGCGGCACAAAGTACGTTTCATTTCGCGTTTCATGCATCGCAGAGTTGTGGCTATGTAAACTCGTAATTTTCGAAAATATAATGTGCAGGTTTGGATTGGATTGGATAACTAAATGCGAATTTGCGGCATTCATCAGTCGATCTTTTTGATATTATCTGGATTCTTCGATAGAACTAATATGCAATTTAAGGAGCAATTTAAGGAGCAGTGAGCAGAAGGTAAAGCTTAAATATCTTCACTGGTGAGTGCAATTATTTGAGTATTAATTAATTATACTCATAATTGTGATGATACGTATCCACAATTGCCAAATAAATATATGCACAGTTATTTTAAACCATACTTTGACAATTATATTCTTATCTCCAACTTACATTTTTGCAAATAAATAAAAAAACACAAAATTATTTATTTCCTGTTCTAACAACAAAAAATTTTTTATTTTGCACAAATTATATATGCAATTAAAATAAATTAATATAAACATATATATAAATAACGAATAAATTATAATAATTGAATAATAAAAATTGAATAATAGCTTGAAGCTATTGTACAGCTGTAGCTGTAGAAGCATGTAGCAATCATTAAATATTAATTTTTTTTATTTAAACATTTTAGTCCATCTTTGTGACCATTTTCAGTATTTTATAAATGTTCATGGACTAGTCATTGAACTACTAACTAATTTATGGAATTCTATATCTTTTTATTTTCAGAAGCAGTTCATTTTTATTATGTTATTGAATAAATTAGTTAAGTAGATGTCAAATTTGGAAAGGAAATTTCAAAATATTATACATTGTTCTCTGCTTGGATATAATCCCATGGTTAGGTTAGGCTAGGTATGGTGTTTAATCTAAATCTTGTAGATGTTATTGCTATTATTGTAATCGAGAAACAATCAATAGGAGTAACATTTATAAGATTTTTAATTAGACATCATAGGATAGCAGAGAACAATGTGCAATAATAGCATGTCATTTTCTTTACAAATTTTCCACTTAACTAACTTATTCAATGACATAATACAAATTAACTGCTATTGGAAAAAAAAAGTTATAAAATCCCATGAATTAGATAGTCCAATGAGACTAGTCCATGAACGTGCATAAAACGCCGAAAATGACCACAAAAAAGGATCAAAATACTCTTGAATGAAAAGAATTAATATTTATAATGATTTCTACATTCACCTATAGCCTTCAAGCTCTTGTTTTTATTATCTTAATATTGAATATTTGTAATTTTGCATATTTAGTAAAGTTATAACACAATATTTTGTTTATAATAATTGAATTTAAAAACTAAATTTATGAAGAAATGTTGAAAATAAAGATAATTATAACAGTTATAATAGTTTTGATTTATATAATTTTAATGTACATGAATTTATAATAATGATAAAATAGTATTTTTACTTAATCTTCTAAACAAATCTAATTGTTTCTATATATTTTTGTTAAAAGGTGAATTGCCAAAGTATGGTTTTGTGTACATAATTTATTGGTATGATAAAAAGGCCATAATTGTCACAATATGTAGCAATTTATGTAATATACTTGCTTTTATGGTGCGTGAAATCGTAAAAATTCTTTTATCGTATATCGTAAAATATAAGGACGTTTTAAATTTGATATGCTTTGCGAAAAGAGTCTCTTCTGTACAATATTTAAAACAGTATAGAAATTGCGGGACAGTATCGCGATATTTATCTTATAATCTTACAATATCAAGTTTTCTATCGACGACTCTATGCATTAGAGCGGAAGCGCCAAGTGACATATCTTTTTCTATCAATAGCATATACATATAATTAAACTCGCGGAAAGTAGAACAGTAACATCTCTCGGTGATACGAATAAAAAATATAAATCAATATGTCAATAAGAAGTTTAAAAAAGACATATAATTGTTTGCAAGTGTATAAATCGTATGTCGTAATGTAATCTCGGAGAGATCGATTGATTCTGTTCTTATCGCGCGTGAAATGAAATGTGGTAGCTCTCGATCAATTGTATGGAAATATCCGATCACGCTTGCACATGCTGCATTTGCGACGCTTTAGAAGTCTTCTACTATAATACCATTCCATAGGTGACGTCATGGTGAGTACCACAAATGTATATTTTTCTTATTT